ATTATACTGATTTAGAAGGCTATGATATATCAAACTACATAAATATATTTACATAGTCATGCTTTACTGGGTCCTGTCTCCTGAGCTCTACCCATATTGGCCCTTGCTTCGAAAGTTCGAACACTGCTGGCGAGAATATGATCAGATTTTTAACAGCTACAGAACTAGTATTAGTTTACTTATCTATACGTCATTAAAGTCTAAACTCCTAAGTTAAATAAAAGCTATGTATATACACCAGGGAAAATTTCAATGAATACTTATCAGTGATATGCGTTTGTCGACTTGAGCACATAGGGATCAGCGGGCTGATGTGACGACAATAAAACAGGTCTGACTATCTGACCTTGAATTTTCAGGACCACTGTATGGATATAAAAGTTTTAACGTACAACGTGTACTTATTATAAACGTCTTGAGGATAGCTTTGAGTTTTCAGTTTTCAGTTTCAGCCGTTCAGGCTAGCTTTGAGAGTAAGGCATATTTCTTTACTCCAAAGTACTCCACTAGATTGTGTAATTTGTATTGATTGGATTAAAAACAAACATATATGGAAGAAAACAAAAAGTGAAGTACATCGTAAGGCATTGGTGAGTGTTTCGCCAATGGCTTCTCGGTATAAATATACCGCCTATTGTGGAAATTGATTGGATTGTAATAACTAATACAAGTTACACAAAACCGACATCCAGCTCCGACTCCGAGTCCTCGGATCTCATTGCCTCAGGCCTCAGGCCTCAGGCCCTCAGACTGAGGGCCTCAGTCCTGAGAGAGAGTGTGCCCCGGAGGGCGGAGGCCCGGAGACCCGGTCCCCGGTCCCTGTACATATGTACTATGTAAATATACCACACTCTTCTAGTAAGGCTACAACCGCTACATACTAAATACCCCACTATTCAGAGGAACTTGAGTAGAGCTCGAGAGCTATGTAGCGACTAGCGAGATCATGAGAATCCAGAATTCAGAATTCAGATTAGAGTCGAGATGTTCATTGTTCTGTACACTGTAAGTACGTGGTAAATGAGTCAAGAGACTCAAGACTCAAGTGTGAGTCTGTGAGTGTCAATGTATGTCAAGTGCCCACACGAGGTTTTCAGTTCATTACGTATTCCTTTTTTTAAAAGACCAGACTCGCAAAATTATGCTAGAATCTCTAGTAGGGACGATTCAATGAATGACTAAATAGTATATAATAGCTGCCTAAGCTATTGCAATTACCATATCACCTTTACTACTTTAACAACACATCCCAACTGCTACACTTCTGAACTACCCTATTCTAAATTTTCGACATCTACAACTCAATCATGTTCACAAAACAAATTATAGTGGCTAGCGTCGGTCTGGCGAGTATCGCCATGGCTCAGCCTATTACGAGTGAGTCGATGATGCCGTCTGAGTCCACGATGCCGTCTGAGTCAATGATGGCCTCTGATATGGTCAGCGAATCCGGTACAGCCGAACCAGAGTGTGCCGATGAGAACACAGAGTATTTATGTACCACCAACGCTATGTCCTGGGTTAAAGACAGACAGGGTAATCACTTCATGGACTCTAAAGTAAAGGAGGACTGGACCCTTAAAATCCGAAAGATGGGCGAGGCAGCCTTTGAGATCAAGAAAGGTACCGGCGAACACATTGCTTGCGTAATTACTAAGTTCAGATCAGAGGAAGGAACTATCCGTGCCGTATGTGCCGATGGCGAGAACTCCACGACGCACCAGGTTGAGATGGATGATGCGTGTAACCCCATGGAGATCATGATTGCTACTACTGATCCCGATGGTGAGAACGAGTTTATCGGTGAGGAGGCACCCAGCGCCTCATTCTCTACATGCACTTTGATCATGCCAGAGGAAGTGAGTTCTATGCCTCCGGCGGCAAGTGAGAGTGAGATGGTGTCCGAGCCCGCAGAGGTACCCGAAGAAATTCCGTCTGAAATGCCCGCAGTGAGCGAGGAAGCACCTGCTGAGTCTGAGGAGGCTTCGGCCCCAGCTGAGAGTGCCGAGGCAAGTGCAGATGAGAGTGTGCCTGCTGAGGCAGGAGAGAGTGCCCCTGCTGAGGCAGAAGAGAGTGCCCCTGCTGAGGCAGAAGACAGTGAGCCTGCTGAGGCAGAAGACAGTGAGGCTGCTGAGGCAGAAGAAAGTGCTCCTGTTGAGGCAGAAGAGAGTGAGCCTGCTGAGGCAGAAGAGAGTGCTCCTGTTGAGAGTGGCGAGTTGTCGGAAAAAGCTGAAGCCTCGGCGCCCGCTGTAGTTGAGGGTGTGATTGGGGCGGCTCAAGATGCTGTTGATGCTGCACAAGAGGCTATCGAAAACCTTGAGGTATAGATGTTTGGATTAGTCTACTTAGCGCTGAATATGAATAAATTGTTTATTTTGTATATGTATTAATGTTTCCCCTTTGTTGTTTAATAACAGCGACATTTGATTTTCGGTACAATACAATATACGGCTCTGCAAGAAACTCTGCATGCCAGCGCCTGTATCGCAATTGTACCTAAACTGATGTACAAGCTACAACTGTGAAAATGCGCTGTACCACCATTCATATGTTGGATGAATATGACCGGTATGACATTCTGGTGTGTGTGGCCCTTCTTCGATATCGTTCAAAATTGTCCCACTCCCATGCGGGTTGTCTGCACGAGCACCAATACCCGTGAATACAACTTCCTGCCCCCACCCTCTGTATTTTTCTGAAAACTTCAAAGTATCATTGAAACCCCAGAGTACTTTGCCAGTTGTGCTCGAGAGGATACAGCAGTCTAACCAGAATTCTGCTGGGTGAATTTTGCAACACGGGGGATACTTACAAGGTACCTACCGCAATACATTCAGAACCACATTCAACGCGGCTATTCTTTACGCCAAAAAAAAAAGAGTGAGAAATAGTATGTAAAGCAATTATCAGGTGGTATATTCTGCACTCGACAGTAAGGTACTCTGAAAAAATGGACAGGTGCATTTCGCCTTTATTCCGATTGATTGGAAATTTACGCCTCATTTCTATTCGGGTGAAATGCCGGTGGGTTTACGCAAGACCAATATACACCCAAGCACAGCAAGCAGGCGATCTCGAAATATCAGTCATTCTCAGACCACACTTTGCACGTGCGGAGGTTTGTCTGTTGTGTCACTAAATTGATTCTTGTGACTGCTTGTACGACATTTCTTCGACGTCAGTATATATTGAAGGGTATGAAACGAGCAGGGTGCCACTTGGCATTGGTTTTTCGTAGTAGTACTGACGCTTAACTGTCGTTGAATATCTGAGTGCCCATTGCGCATTTGTGTGGCCCACTATATCTGTACCATATATTCTACAACTGGTAATTTGCAGTTGATGATAATCACTTAAAAATAATTTATAGTATACCGGGATGTATGGGGCTTTTACTCACATCCCACTCCTCGATGCAGTAATTGTTGGGACCTAAGCTCTCAGCCTGGATGCCTCTTGTGAGCAATTTACAGCGGAATTCCTGACGGCGTGGAGATGATCGATTATTAGTACTAATGAATACGACAAATAGTCGAAAAGCTGCAAATATACTTAAAAAAAGACACGTCCAAATTCTGAAACTGTTGAACAGAACGGCTCAAAAGATGGTGTACAAAGAATTTGAAATCAATGTTATTGACAATAAATTTGAAATCAATGGTATCGACTTGGGAAGCTCATGAAAACAAAAGACAAACGATAAGCGATCGAAAACACCAAAGCATACTTAATGTGTAGTGCAAAGACCAAATGTTTCTACATATGGGTGTGTGTGTGTGTGTGTTTGGGTGTGTGGGTGCGCTTGTGTGATTGCGAGTACCTTACAAATGTACATTGATATACCTGCAACCTCAGGGTAGCATCCTCAATATCAGTCACCGCCCTGTCTGACCACAACCTTTCAGCAACAGCTGAGGCACGTGGGAAGACCCTACAATATGAGCAAGTCGCGTGTCAGTCTGGGGAGAAGGAAGCGGCCGAGTGAATGTAAATATTTGAAACAAAAGTGTTGTATCTGCGATATCATAAGCATACCCAGAAAGATAAGGCGATCTAATGCTCAAAAGTGTGCAAACCCTCAAGCCCGATTGATTGTTCACTATAGCGAACATCTACAGGGACTAGGAACATCTACAGGGACTAGCTGCATTGTAAGTGTAGGTGAGGTATAGTCTTAATTCAGGTAACGGCTTGTATTGTTGAAGCTACAATTTTTTCCGAGCATCATGACTACAAAACGAAGTGAGCATTGCATAGAAATCACTGAATCCTGGCTACGTGGGTATGAACAGTCTTGGCTACCAATTCCCCGTAACGCGCATATACATACCTTTGAATGATATTTGCACCATCTACGTACTCTCCCCACATGCAAGCCTCTCCACCAATGACCAAGTTCTTCTGAGCCACTGGCCCTATAAAATCTAGCGGCTCTTGCTGTGGGTAATGGTATCAACATTGAGAGTGTGTTTGAGCACATATCTGATACACCTTAGCGCCCAAGGGTACACACAACGAGCTCTGTTTGATACATGCACCTACGAATTGTCGAAGGGAAATGGTCACGCACACATTGTATACAAGCCTCCGGCGATCGAAACTATGCATTCGCACGACAGCACATGTGCTGCGTAGCACGCAGAGCACGGTACAAACTTATGCAAAGGTAGCTGAAAGCTCACAAACATATAGGCGCACGAAGAAACATGCCCGACGAAATTCAAGCCATGGGTTTCCAACGTTCAGCACGTACCTGGTAGAATTTAATCCAATCCTGCGTACTGCTGATTTGATCCAGATACCACGGAGCCGAAAGCACTGCGCTGTAACCCTAAACAAGATAAAACCGGAAATAAACTGGTATAGTTCAGTAAAATAACGATGGGTGTGTAAAGGATGGGGGGGGGGGGTTTAAAATTCCTGCAAAGCATAATTGTGGTAAAGAGCATAGTTACAAATTAGCAATAGAGACGTGTATATGTAGGACTTTAATTGTGGTAGTGCGCATAGTTATAAATTAGCAATAGAGACGTGTATATGTAAGAAGCTAATTGTGGTAGTGAGCATAGTTAAAAATTAGCAATAGAGACGTGTATATGCAAGAAGTTAATTGTGGTAGTGCGCATAGTTATAAATTAGCAATAGAAACGTGTAAATGCATGAATTTAATTGTGGTAGTGCGGCTAGTTATGCATTAGCAATAGACATGTATATATACGAAGATAACTGTGGTAGTGCGCATAGTGATAATGTATCAAAAGAGGTGTATAATATACGAACCCCAATTTTGTTGTGATATAAAAACACTCCTCAAATTGTTGACAGCAAATAAGAAGAACCAGTGGAGTAATACTACATCCGTCGTACGCGGGATTGACGACCGGGGAGACCACATCCCACTAGCTAGTGTCGTATTGCAAAAGCAGGTTCACATCAAGGAAACACCTATGTACATGTGCTCGCCCACGGAAGACGGATCGTCCTACACCGTTCCCGAATGCACCGAAATCAATAGAAACACACCCATGAAGGCCATAGAGCCAGTGAGGTATCCCAGCACGCGGACAACACAGTGGACGCTACGAAAGATAATACACACCTGAGCAGTGACAGCCGCGAGTTTCTTCTTCCAGTTGTCGTCGTGTGGTTCCCACACATTGATGAGTGTGGTAATGGGTGGGGGCGTATCGCCGCTTCTAAAAAAGACCTCCTGCCACACCATCGATCGCTTCGACCTAGCCTCCATGTGGCTGCAGCAATGTAGACAAGGGTGGTACAATAAGACCAGTGCAGATGAATCTCATATGAGATGTGTGCATTGTATCAGCAGCGCACAGGCTGGCACAGCAGAACTACGGGTGTTGCACAAGCCCGTTAATACAATCAGCAGAGTACTTATCCACAAGTTGTGAGGTCAGTGGAACCCTCAGAAAGTGTGGTACTCAGAGAAGATGTCTAGGTGTACGTTTATACGCGTTCAAGGGTTCTGTTTAGATTCCTGAGGTAAGAACTTCACTAAACACTGCCCATGTGCACCGCTCAGATTGACTGTGCAACAAACAATATAACTGACTGTATGCTCTCTATCAGCAGGTGTGTTATACGTATGATTTGAATATCTATATACACAACGTTGCGACATACCCAATGAGCCTGCGCTCGAAATAACTCTGCACCTGTTCGCCCGTTGTGAAGTTGTTGTCCTTCATGAACTGCTGCACACGAGGGCTCTGCAGCCAGCAAGTGGGGTCCACTTCATCACCTCCAATGTGCACCTACCAGCAGAAGATAAAGACGAATTTGAAGACGAATACAAGCAAGACCTCTGATTTCACTGCTTAAAGGGACGCATTCTGGCAACAGAAGCAATGTCCCATACGGTCAAGCAATCCGAAAGGCTGCATATAGCTGATACACGTGATAATAGTAGTACCCAAATATTGCACGGACTACAGTATCATCAACTGTGGTAATAGTCGCACTCCATTCGGCAGTCGAAATGGCTTGCAATAACTGGATTCGACACTTGCCGAACAAGCAATAGAGACTGCATCCTACACTTGCCGAACAAACAATAGAGACTGCATCCTAGGCAATCTCGTACTATCCCATTTGAGAGCAGCCCTGAACAGATACAGTTTTGGGCAATTCTCAAACATACCAAGTGGCTTGGTACGATTTCGAATAGTTCAGTCCAGAGTTTCATCAGGAAAGTGAACGTATCCGGGTTGCTCGGGTCCAATGGACCGTAAGTTGGATTCTGCATCAGAGAGACGATATAAGCAAAATAAAATGAGAAAATCAACATCCATGAACCAGATATCAACAAATACCTCGAAGTCACACGTCGCCGGATACATCCCGGCGTAAACTGGCAACACGCATCGCCAGTCAACAAACTACCAGCACATAACTGCCCAATCTCTTCTGACAAATGGGCAATAAATGAGAAACTTAAAATGGCAATGTAAAACAACGAACAAACGACTGGAAGAGGGCCAACTAAACAAAACACGGTATGCACAATGTCAAAGCAAACACCGCCCCCCCCCCCTCGCACACACACACACACATAGAATTAGTACTGGTTTGTATATTGGACATGGAAAATAGAATGGCAATATCTACTCAATGGACACTCCTCACTGAACTGCATAGCTCTGAACAATGTTTACTATATATCTATACTCATTGTCGGCAAATCTAAAGCGCCTTCGTATTCTGACGCACGGATGCAAAAGCGCGCATTTGTTTTATGCACAATTATGCGATCATTGATCACGAATACATACACAACAACCGATAGCTCACCAGACAATCTGGTGCGTATTCGGGATAACCCTTCAGCATACCACCCGCGTGGCCGGGAGAGTCGATTTCAATCATAACTTGGACGCCCTTGCGCTTGGCATACTCGACAATCATGCTCACATCAATCGGAGTGTACGTGTGTGAGGGGTAGAGATGTGCACCGTACTTGGCGAGCTTAGGCCATTTCTGTAAGAGTTTACACCGGTGATAATTATTAAAAATGCACTAGTGATAACTCGGATTGGTGTATATTCGTGTGGAAAGTCATCTCTTATTATCTTTCGGAAGACAGAAAAGGATGTAACACATTCTGAAGAAAGAAAAAACGTGAAATTTGTTTATTGTGTGATTGAAGCTTACCAGGGAATCAAAAGGGAATGCGATGTTATCCGACATATGCCAGTGCAAGAGATTAAGCTTGTTGTAGGACATTCCATCAATGACGCTTTGGATAGTGCCGGTTGTGAGGTAGTGGCGTGCGGTGTCTATCATCAGCCCTCTAACAGGAAAGCGGGGCTTGTCCACAATGTGCACACCCGACATCACCCGCACATCTGGCTCCGAATCTGCGTTGTACAGATATAGTACAGAAGAGTACGTGTTTAGTGCAGGTGAAGGGAAAATCGTTGCATACAGGTAGGTATGACGCGAGTGTGTGATTTGCTACACAAACACAACAAACATTGGCTTGAACGACAATATATTAGATGAAACAGGGATCACATAAGCCACGGTACAATCACGAGGCTGCCTGTGTGGCTCGGTTGCTGATCTCGAGCAGTAAAGCTGAAGCACAGGAAATCTTACAAATACAGAATGGAAAGTACACTTGGGTGTTCTCGCAAGTGTATCCCGAATAGACATCAAGGTAGGCGACAGCCTGACAAAAGCCAAGCCACGTGTAAGGGCTTATAGATTATTAGTGTACTGAAGCGTAGGTTCTGTTGGTACAAGTGGACGCTGGTGATTTCATATTGGTACTGTTGCAGTGGAATTCGATGTACGCGTGTGTTCGACTATGATGCGAGTGCTACATGATCACGAATGCAAACATACACACTGCAATCACTCAGACACGCTGCAATCACTCAGACACACTGCATTCATACACACTGCAATCACTCAAACACAGATTTCGGGCTTGGATTGAAGCAATCTATCAGATTGTGCCGATATCGTGTATACAGCGCCATAAGAACCGTTGGTCTTGAAATTTACGAGTATGATAACCACTAAGATTCATTTTGACTAGGGATGACATAAATGTGCAATTGCATTGAACTAAAACTCGTACTTAATGGCACCAATGCACGGTCACATACAGGCACGGTAAGTACTCGCTTCACGCACAGACAAGTATAGAAACAATCGACAGTCAACATACCGATACCGTCGATAAGCTGCGCAAAGGTCTCCATACCCCTCAGTGCACCAGGGACAGTGCGTGCCGCCAGAACGGCCGTGGCAGTGCCATTTTCGCTGTAGGTACCCACTGTTATAAGGTACGACTCATCTGTTTCGCCGACATTCAGAGTCTGTTCGTCCACAATAGTATAATATACTCATAGAAGTTAAATATTTTGTACGACATAAAGAACAATAACAGCTAGATTGCATACGTCTGTCGGTCATAATCCCTATCAATATATATATATATACATATATGCATACATACATATATATATATATATATATATATATATATATATATATATATATATATATATATATATATATATATATATATATATATATATATATATATATATATATATATATATATATATTATATATATATATATAT